ACAGCCGTATCATATAATGCCTGACGTGCATTCAGTAAGTCGTCGATGTCTCCATTATACATATTTCTTAGTTTGTCTTTAAATGCCGATTTGTCTAGCGGTCCGGCAATTGTGCTGATATGTTCGTAAATGCCTCTGTCTATTTGGGTAGATGTCAAACTTACATCACTCGAATTAAGTACCGTTTTTAAATGGGTGATGCTGTCATCCAAGTTCTCATTCATACTGGCGTTTTCTGTCCGATTCCCTTTTTTCACTATGCGCCGCACTAATAGCGTATTAGCGGTCAGCCTATATTCACTAGTGACGCGACAGGGCGTGAGTTCTACTATATAGGTAAGTATACCTATACAGGTAAATGGAAATATATGCGTGTATATATATAATATAGGCATAACAGTCAATTACAATTGTCAAAATATAACGTCAAATATCACACATTCAGATGACCAACTTCACCTTTCACAGAACTTCTGTAATCCTTCACTACACCTTTCTCCACGGTATCATTCCAAACATTGTCCAAACTATGCAAACCGCAGTAATACATCATTTTTTACGGCAACCGAACGCACAGATTTCTAAAACATCCGCCATTTCAAAGGGACGTAACTAAATATTTTTGAGAGTGTTTTGAGAGTAGCAATTCAGTGGGACTAGATCAGGATTTGAACACCGGACCGCAGATTGTTCTACTATCGCTCTAACCGATTGAGCTTACTGATCATCGGAAGTGTACTGCCCATTTTTTTTGTTACAGTTGTATGCAAATGGGGTTAAGGGGAGGCTACTGTACATATGGAATAAAATCAAAGTCAATGAGACAGGGGTCCTTAAGTTAAAACTCCTCATATTTGATGACGAATACAAGACTGTGACCTAGGGAGCCAAATATCTACCTTTGTATAATGATTAAAATGTTACCCCGCTCTACTAGGTCATGGTGATCATCAGCTCATTTTGATCACAAGGTTACTCAGGTACGTCTTCACGATACTTACAATATTAAGATTAGAAGAATTTCAAATATGGTCAACTTCTTTTTGCACACATTTCAATAAATAAAATAAAATGATCACCCCTTTTACCTTAATGCTTAATTTGAAACCGTTAATCTGAAGGCAGTATACAAATGTTCACTTATAATGGATTTAATGTTAAAATATTGCGGATGTCGATGGTGATGTCAATATCGACCGTCACTTGACATAATAGGTTACCAAGAGCACTGCCAGGGATCGGTTGCACGAAACCGTTCTCGCGCTCAAACTCAAAGTATGCGTTCAAGCTCAATTTATTAGTGTTCACAATTTTGACTTCATCAGTTCATCCATGCTTGGTTTTACATAGGCCCAGGTTCCTGTTATACTGTACCAACTGATATTAAATATTGGATGTTGATCGTTTACGTTTGAAAATGATGGATTCAATTTTGAACATGATATATCTTGCAGAACAATACACTCGGTCTTAAAAGGTAAGAGTAACACACAAACACTGGTGATTGCACTTATAAAATTAAAAAAATTCTCAAAAAAAAATTGGCTTAAATAAGAAATTGCATCTGTAAATGATTTTTAAAATGTTTGTTTTAACAAGCGAAAGGTAGGAAAAAAGACATGGTTTTATGAAAGATTTTGACTGCTACGTAAAATCAAGAGAGAGGTGGCAATGAACATGAAATACGAAAAATCAAAATTTGATGACAAATAAAATAAATAATGTCACATATAATAAGTATGCATCAATTAAGAAATGTTATATGGAAATTCAAACCAAAACAAAAGTTATTTTGTGGATAGCAAACATGCTTAATCACGATATTGGAAACTTTCAACGATTAAATATGAGGGCGTTAATACACATGCCTTTACATTTACTGTATAACGACTTACACAAAGATCTATTTTTGGAATCTGATATAACTTAAGTAAATTTTTCGTCATAAAACTAATAATACGTTCATCAAGAAAAAGATAAATAGATAAGTTTATTTGGAGAAATAAATACATTTCTTTAATAGTTTAGTCTTATGTAATTGTCTTATAATTAACCATGTAAAATGTGACCTTACATTCAGGCCCTTCTTGCTGATGCTCTATATACGGGTACATTAAGGTCAAATCTTACTGTGCCAATTGCATCAAAAACGAGACAGACGACGGACATTGTCCAACGGTTATCATACGTTACGTAGACATATCACATAAATACACATAGCCTCTGTTCTGTCAAGGTGACTAGTGAGATAATCATCGCTATAAAAGTCTGTTGGGCTGTCATCATTGCTATTCAGCTGTTGTTTCAGCAACAGTGACTAGAACCCATAGGCTGCAGACATGAAGCTCTTGTGGACCGTAGCTCTGGTGGGGTTGCTGTTGGTCAACCAAAATGAAGGCAGCCGGCAGCCAAAAAGACTACGAAGAAGTAAGTTTGGTTCATATTGTGTGTAATGGATTTAGTGCGTTTATTTATTTATTTATTTATTTATTTATTTATTCGTGCTTCTTGTACATCAGTTGTGTTAACATAGGCGCAGAGGGTTTCATTGAGCTTTTGAAACCTCCTAACCTGTCGTCCTTTTGAAATCTTAAGTTTTTTGTTTTGTTTGGTAAGGGGTTTTTTTTCAATTGTTTTTTATTTTGTGTAGATGGTTTCTTGGTGCTTTAGAAACCTGCCATCTGTTCTGTTCTCCTCTTTAAGTCTAGGGGTTTTATTTATAAGTTATGTTTAAATATGCAGAGAAGGTTTCATGGAATTTTAAAAGCCTCACAACCAATCAATTGTATTCTTTGAATCTAGTATTCTGTTTCCCAAAATATGATAAAAGATACATCACTTTAGCTTGTGCTAGGTGTTTGGTAGAGATTGAAGAAATAGATATAATTTAAGTAGACTGACTAGGGAACAGAATCACTACATTACTTGGGGATATAATGATAATTGCTTCGAGCTCCACGTGGTGACACAGAATCAACTTGCCAACTATAAATCCCCTCTTATATCTTACATCCTACGTTCTTCATCATGTAATCCATCTGCACTCTTAAGTAGATTTATTCTCTAGTTGAAACTCCAATTACATGTGAGTGAAATCCTTCTTCAAGTTAAAATCCTGCTAAGCCTATGGTCGTCTACCTGAACCATGCCATTGTTTTGATAATAATCACGGGAACAGAGTTGCTTTACTGATCTGTATCACAATCCACCTCTGTGGTATCCTATAACGCACATGTGACTAAAATAACTTAAATTAACGAGTCACTGCGTGGGAGCTCTGGTCGATGACTTCTGTCCTAGATGTAGAAAAAACTTTTTAAATATTTCACAATAAACATATTATAATATACATTGTCCATACCATAGGAGAGGGCTTGTATAGGCATTACGCCTGTTGCCCAATTCCTTTTGAAATTTATCTTATTAGGTATACTTTTCATGATTTCACAATGCGACGTTTGATGACGTCATATTTGCCTTTTGACATCACGCGTTTCCTCGAATTGACTGTCATCCGAATGACGAGAAAAGATATTTTCTCTTCAGTTCACTGATCATGTGGTGTACCCGATATAAAACTCACAAAAAATATTAAGGTTTTTGCATAATAAATGTTTTATTTTCTTAAAACAGTTGCTTTTTAATATGTATCTTTCATGAAAAAGTCATTTATGAAAGTACAGATAATCAAATAGGATTTGTATTAAACTTCGTGAATTTATTTTAACAGAAGTTTGAAGGTTCTAATGAAGAATTGTTTCCTCTGGTTACATCATAATCAATAATCACTGGTACGGTATTCCTTAGATTTGCTACGTGACCAAGGGAATTTCTTACATAGGATATTGCTGGACGAAAAAAGCAGAGAATTATAAGATAGAGGAAAAGAGAAAAAATAGTTTATGCTATATTTTTTATACCGGACATTAATGGATTAGTAAAAAGGGCAAAAATATGTAAAACACGTATGCGTAAACCAGTTGGGAACAAAAAGGCACGGTAGTCTAGTGGTAGGACTCCGGGCTCGTGACCGAGGGGTTGCGGGTTCGAGTCACGGCACGGCACTGTGTTGTATCTTTGAGCAAGATACTTTACTCCGCTTGTTCCAGTCTACTCAGTTGTAAATGAGTACGTGGTTGGGCAGTGCTAGAACTGTTGAAAGCTAGCTGTGATTGCCGAAATGGCAGCACCGGCTGTATGCTCCCCAGGGAGTTGAGAAAGATATTGGCTGGTTGATAAGGCCCCATAACCATGGATAATATTTTGTGAACCTCTTTGAGACGACTTACAAACTAGGTTGTGATAAAGGTTATAAGAACCTCGAATTATTATTATTATTATTTATTATTATTATAAAAGACAGGAATCGGAGTGGAGCCTTTACATTTTTTTTAATATAAATTGTATTTAAGGTAAAGCAGAATCATAACATAATATAGTTATAATATCTATAAGTAAAATGTTTGTTTCTTCAATATCACTTAAACAAAAATATTTTTTGTGATTCTAGGTATAGCTATAGTTGACGAGATTGCAGAACTAAAAACAAAAGTAGATAAGTTATCTGAACAAGTTCACAAGCTTGAGGAGCAGAGCCATGGGGTTCATATTCATATAGGAAACGACTACCACGAAAAGAGTGGCGACCATCATAACGGAGATGACCACCACAGCGACACCGGGGATCACAGCGGTGACCATAGCGACACCGGGGATCACAGCGGTGACCACAGAGACACCGGGGATCACAGCGGTGACCACAGCGACACCGGAGATCACAGCGGTGACCACAGTGACACCGGGGATCATTCATCAGACACACATGGTACCACCGGGGATCACAGCGGAGACCAAACAGGTTATCACAGCGGGGATCAAACTGGGGATCACACCGGGGATCACAGTGGAGACCATAGCGGGGACCACAGTGGAGACCATAGCGGGGACCACAGCGGAGACCATAGCGGGGATCACAGCGGGGATCACAGCGGAGACCACAGCGGGGACCACAGCGGAGACCATAGCGGGGATCACAGCGGAGACCATAGCGGGGATCACAGCGGGGATCACTCCGGGGACCATAATGATCACCATAATGAAGATGACCATGACAGCCATTACCCTCATGCCCAGCACGTTTACCTCAACATGAAACTTTCTAGCGGATGTGGTCATAATACAAAGGCAGACGTACACGTAGAGCACGGTAAATATCTCCCTTTTTATATTATCAATATCGTTATTAAAACAATCGTTTATGTACACAAGTGTTTCGATCCGAAACGAAGTGATTTTCATTGATGACCTCATATGCGGTTTTTTGGAATCAACTAAATAAATCCGATCGACTTACTATTGGTATCTTATTTGTCTAGCTCTCCACGCCCATTGCGAGGTGATGCCAAACACACAGACTCCAGGTCTATCCTACAAAATAAGAGGCCATATTGAATTAACACAGGAGGTAAGTGTATTATTAGAAGTAACAAATTAGTTTGTTTTTATTAACCAAAAGTTAAGTTTAGATATTCTTATATATTTAAGGGCCTTTAAAATTCCCTTTTTTAAATCCGAATTCACAAGAAGCGTTTGACAAACTCCCAACAAGAAGTGAAGCAGTTAGTACCTGTCCTGAACTTTTAAGTATTTTACTCGTCAAAACCTATTGACGGCGTGTTTTAATAAAAAATAATACTATGAAATAAATATAGCAGCATTATTGAAATCTATTTACAGAGACATTTACCATAACAATAACAGCATCGAAACTTACAACAACAACAACAACAACAATAACAACAACAATAAAGATACTTACCATAACAACAGCATACTATACTTACCACAATNTTTAAGTAAATTCGAATGCTCAAAATCAGAGATGTATGAACATTTATTTACGTTAATATTCAAACGAAGTGAAAATTCAAAAAATGAATTAAACCCTGGATTATTTACTCCTGATAATTTAAGGTAAGGTTAATAACACCGAATGGAAATAATGCGAAACATAAGTTTGTTTTTCCGTTTTCGGATTGTACCAGAAATGTCAATTATCTACGGGATTTCAAATGTCTTTTTATGCCTGGTTTTCCCTGGTTTTATTTTTAAAATGATAAAAAATAACAATATCATTAGCACGTGTCAGCATTAATTAATTAACACCATGCATCATATTTGTTGTGTATTCAAAACGAGAAAGTAAATCCATATTAAATACATTGCAGTTAAGAAAATATATGAAAATAAACATAAAGTACCGTATGCAATGTGACTGAAATACACAACCTAAAAGTTAGAAGCCTGATTATTTACCACACGTCTTTAACCTTATCATACCACTGTAAAGGTTCTCTTACTAGAAATTTTCTAATTATAGCCTATTTTCAGTTTCTCTAGAGTATAGTCTATATCACAAAACTAATACAGTGTAGTGGTAATGCTGGTTCAATATAATCACAAAAAAATGAAACTTTCAGATGTTAGATGGTGTACCTATACATGATCGATATCACCATTTTAACGTTGCATTGTGAAAGAAAAATAGAGACCCTTATGAGAAAATTAACAAACAGAAAATAGCCGGCGTACATTAATTGAACAACTTACTTTCCATCGTTAGATCTGAAAATTCTGATGTGTTTTGTGTTATTCAATTATTTATGATCTACTTGAAATGTACAAGGTTTAACTTTGATCAAACAAACTCTTTGTTTTGTTAGGTACAGAGCGTTTTAACATAATAAAAGGTTAACCTTATGAAGGGTTAGCTGAAAATGCAATGCTTTCGAAAATCACAGCAAAATTCTATGGAAATTAGGATTTCGTATAGGATAAGAGCTTACCTTCCGAATGAAGTTACTCCATCTATAGTTTCTCGTGTCTTTGACAGCCACGTTGGAGATCTCGGAAATATTGCTGGCGATGAGCATACCCATTATACTCACACCAAAAAGATACATGCCGATCTACATGAACTCATCGGCCGTTCTATTGCCGTAAGTATTACCGAGTGTTGCAACTATTCCAATAACACCTATCAAATAATGATATTTTTTGAAGTCAAACTATATACTGTAATTAACCATGAGATGTAAACAAATAAATCGATAACATAGTGGCTTTAAAGAATTTTTTTCTGTATTTGTATTTCTGTATATTTTCACCTAGATTAACGCCGATGCCGATGACAGAACGGGCAGTCATGGAGGTCCAGTAGCGTGCTGTGTCATAGGGCGTAGCCAAGACGACCACCAGTCTAATCATGATGATGACCACGACACCGATCACAGTGAAGACCATCATGGAGATCAGGACAATCACGGCGACCATCATGACGATGACGATCACCATCACAATAACGACCACCATCACCACCATGACCACCATCATGACGATCAAAAGGACCACCATGACAAACATGGCGACCATCATGAAAATCCAGACCACCATGACAAACATGGCGACCATGATGGTGATGACCAACATGACGGTGACCATCAAGGCGACGATCATCAAAACGATGACCATCAACACGAGGATCATCAAGGCGGCGATCAACATGATCAAGACCAGACTGACCACAACACTGATGACACACATCAAGACGTTGACCATCAACACGAGGATCATCAAGGCGGTGATCAACATGATCAAGTCCAGGCTGACCACAACACTGATGACACACAAGACAATACGGATCACCAACCAGACGATACAGTCTATCAGGGATAAACTTGATCCCATAATGACTTTAAATAAACGAGATCTTTCTCTGAATACTTTACTTATACAGATGTATTCATAGTTAAAAGTGTTGAAATAATTCCGCGTGTTTGAATTTGAAGTGTTGTTTGATTGTAAAATACAGTATTAAAATAATTAGTGTGAAGAAACAACACTGACTTTTTTAATTTTAATTTTGTGAGTTATCCATCTAATGAGTTTGCGAACATTTTATATCTGTTTTGCTATAGTACGACAAATTCAATTCGATTGATGGTAAGTTGTGCAGGTGCCATCCGGATATTGTGCTTTGAACAGGGTTATACTCCTTAAAAAAGGAAAATCAGGATTATATTTGTGCCTCCAAATATGTATAATGATACACATTTACATGAGCGGAATAATATGTTAGGGGCCTCGTACCACTGCCAAACACTGTTACAAAGCTTTGGAAACTTCTTTTCTGCACGACTATAGTTTTGATAAATCATTTTTTGAAAAGAAAACCATATATTGCGGGACTTTTATGATAAAAACAGACTGAATATGAAATAGACAAAATATAACCAACATCAGTGTTTTGAATATAAAAAATCAATGGGGCTAGACCGCCACCGGAACTCCGGACTTGAGCTACCTGGTCATCGGAAGTGTCCTGTAAGTGTTTCTCATGACTAGACTGGTATTCGCACCCTTGACGTCACACCCTTATACTATCATTCTAACCGACAAAGCTCTTACTAGTTAACGGAAGTGTCCAGGCCCAACTGTGCTACATTATAATCCAAACGGAAGTTAAGGGGAGGTTACTGTATATACGAAAAGCTAGTGCAGCGGGACATGGCTCCTTAAATAATTAGACAGACCAAATGGAAAACCTTGCATGGTCAATATTGTCCACTAAATGGTTGGGTAGCTTCTATTCATGTTCAAGTTATTGTGCAAAGCCAGACATTGTTTCAGCTGCTATAGTGCTTTATAAGATTTACCTTGTTTAAATTTAAGACACAACATTGACTTGGGATGCAATAAAATGACTTGGTCCTAAAAATAAATGACAATTTATATCTAACAAACGTTAACACAGCGAGTTCATCCGGAACAACACATTTCATACACATTATCATTAGTTGTTAAAAATTATGTAAACAACCATTTTTTCCTTTATACATATTTTGGCCCAGATTTTTCGGTTTTGTGTTCGTACAATGGTTTTGTTGTCACTTCGGTGTTTTCTTGTTATTTTTACTCCAAAGGATCATGGTTATCAGATAAGAAAAGTCTAAAATGCCACCACAAAAAGAAATACCACAACAAGGTTGTTTTCCTTGATATTATCTCAAAAGTTAATACATGTATCACAAAGTTGAAAGTAGAAATACTTACGTGCTGTGTGCAGAAGCCGAATTCCTGTAAGGCAAGCTTTTGTTGTATAAACACAAAAATATTTTACCTTTTTTTTTAATGAATATATATACCAATTAAAATAAATTTTCTCATGCCATCATGCAGGGGTAATTTCTCAAATGAAGGGAGATTACGATGTAATTGTATTAACTATACCCTGGAAGCTTGTTAGAGACTAGTGTATCAAGGAGACGATTGAAACAAGTGCCGTCTGATTCATTCCGGAGGTTTTAATCAAATTAATATTACCGATTTGCTATTCGTTCTAAAAATTAGAAGGACCGAAAAGTTATGTTACGTATCATTGTTACCTCCCTTATACCGTATGTCGCGACAACCACACACTCTCTCCAGATACAGATTAGTTATCTATATGGCCTACGTTCACGGCCAAAAGACGACGCATTATCATCCAGATAAGAACTTGCATTTATTTTATCAAAATCTCCAATTACTTTACACAGAACTTTGGACATTTTCACTGTCTGTCAGAATGTCGATAGTCTGGTGTTGAGGTAGAGAAAACTTAGACTTGCATACAATGTAAAACACACGAATTTTTCGTACAAGAAAATCACAGGAAATCTTCATTATAAAATACGACCAATATGCATCAATAGATTAGTAATATTAACACTAAACCTTGGTCCGTAAACCAATCTGTTCTTATGCTAAAACTAGGATTCTGTGCTCACCTCGAGTTATGAATAAACAACAAAAAACTACACATTTTGTCAATGACTTGGATGAATATCGAAATAAAGTAACGTTTTTCAATTTCTAGAGTTGACCTTTCGACCTTGTCACATGATTAAAGCTAATTACAAGAAAGTTGGTTTGAGCACAGAATCCATGCCTGAGCATAAAAATAGGTTCTTGGAGCTCTTCATCAAATATCAAACATATGAGTGTTTATGAGAGTAATATAATAACATCAGTGTAACGATAGTTCGAACTTATCTTTCATTATATCCACCAAACTTTATACGACCTCCGTCATCCTTCTATACAGTTTTTTCACATTCTTATCGGAGCTGCGTGAAGGCCGTCCATTCTCAATCAAGGGGAGGCAATTCAATTCGTCTATAGTTGTCAGGTTCGATTTTTTTCTAGCTTTTGTGAATACAACATTGTCGTTTTGACAATTCAATGGATTTAATGTGGACGTAACACTTATTGTTCCGTTCTACACCCCTGCAGGTGGGGGAATGGGGAAAAGAATACACCTGCTGTTTCCCACTGCATGTATCGTTGGAGGCGACTAATGCGGAAACCCCTGCAGAATCGGGGATTTGCTTTGATGTCCTCTATTTGGGGACACCAAAGCGACATAAAAATGATCTGCTGCACCCATTGCAATATTTGGGATCTTTCCTATTTCTAATTACTTTTTATTTCCTAGCGCCTTGCTTGGCAACACCTCACTTTAGCCTAATGTTGAGCGTTCGCCCTGGTGAGGAAGGCAATTGGTCCTGTCCCCAGGCCGGGACCAATGGATTTAATGTGAATGATAGTTGTTATTCTCTGCTTAACGATCAGCATTTAGGGGAATGGCAACAACTGGTTCAACCGTTGTCAGTATAATGTGACCGGGCGGAATGCTGTGCTTGTTGCCATCGGCATGGCATTTCAGTGAGATAGCACTATAAAGTCGGCATCAGATCCGCGCTATCACAAGTGTGGCAGAGACGATATTTGTGATATCTATATTTATGATATTACGGTATATACATATGTTCTGATATGGTAATAGTGATCTTCATATTGTGGTATAGTTATTTCCTTATTTTGGCCTCTTGGATTGGTTTGGTTATATATATTTTTATCATTGGTCAGTTTTGTAAGTTATCCCGTTGTCACATCTTGGGTTAGCCAATGGTCAAGGGCTTCTTTGTTTTCTTTGTGTGACCGGTGGTTTTTGACGCGATATTTATCAGAGACTACATGACGTCTTGACGAAGCAGACAAGCCAGGACACTGGTAAGAAATACACTAACTTGCACTAATTAATACTTCTAATTATAAATCATCTGTTTCCATTTATATTGTCACATTGATAGATACGATCATACTAGTTAATTCTTGATTCGTTATTAGCTGTACGGTATGTATATACTGCGTCATTTTACTTGTATTTTATATATACGTGATTCTTTGTCATACAGAAATTACGAGCACACGTAATAACCTCGGATAATTCCGTACGACTTCCAATGGCCCTGTTCCACAAATAGGTACAGTTTTCTATTTTAAAAGTATAGTGATTATTGATGAATGTATTTTATTGTACACTTTGTCTATATATTAAGTAACCTCCGTATCAATAAATACTGAGCTTTACATCATATGTTCAATATTACATGTGTTTAAATATCAGTAAATATAATGTAAATCTAGATGTAATATTACTTTTATAATTTATAGAACTATAATCTTACATGTAACATCTCAAGATAACTTCTTGTGAATTCACAGTGTTCAACATGTATATGTGCGTTATGAATGAGTTGTAGATCCCATACATATATCTGAAATGTAATTATTATATAATTGCATGGTTTAATCATTTATGTCTAAAGAATGGGAACTACGCACAATAAATCGTGAAGAACTCTTACAGTGTTTGTTGATGTTTATCTACAAAATGCACCACTGCTACAATGGAGGCTCCAGAGGTCCGATTTATATATTGTGATGAATGTTCAGTCAACTGAGGAGACCAAATGCACGTGTATGTTGTGTCATCTGTTCCCGAGTCGGTGCTGAGCTGTCAAACGTATGTACATTGCTGTAACATGTGATTATATCGTCTGCTGTGTAATCTGTGTGTGTCTACATGTACAGTACCTGTGTATCACGCTTCGACGTACAACATATTTACCTGTACGTACAGTGCGCGTGTGTGAGCGACAAGCGTCTAGATGATGCTGATTTGCCTATTCTTTGGAATATTACTACACCTATTGGATTCAAGCGTTTTGGATACCGGATTGACCTGGAACGGAACTTTCGGAATGAACTGTCAGTAAGTTGAGCTGTTGATTATTGACATAAACTTTGGGAATTTTGCTGAATTGTTGTATTGATTTCGACGAACTTACTATGAAGCAGTGACGTTTGAAAAGGAACATTGACTTTCATTTGGTATAGCCGAACTGATTTCACTTATATTCGTAAAAAATAACTTCGCTTGTTTTTTTTCTCGTGCAGATTTTCGCGATTATGATGTTTGATACTTATTGATATTCAATATTGTTCATTTTTGTTTGTATTACCATTGCTCTTTATTTATGTTGATGTGTTTGGGTTGTGACATAGTGAACATGTGGAACTTGGCTACTTGGGAAACACGTAGATAATTTATTTTTATTTTATTTACCTGTATTCGGAACTTAGTGTACATATAGATCGATGAAATAGTTGAATTTTTTTTTTTGATTTTTTTTTAATCAAACCCTGCGCGAGCGTATATTCTGTTAATTACTTACATGCATGTTATTAATTCCATATATATCTACTTGACACTGACGACATTAATTTGACTTTACCGACATTGGATATCTTGGTGTTATTTGGATTTGTTTAGTGGTTTCTTATCTGATTGTTTTTGTCTTACTATGATAGTGTAGTTCATTTTACTTAGTTCAGTTTTTAGCTGCTATTGGCATCTGAGCTGGTTGTCTTTATAT